CAATCAATATAATCCGCAAATTATTTTTCACCGGTTTTCTGATCGACATCTAGATGAATACTGCTTATTTGGCATGCATGGGTTCATATTTGATATGGACATCTTCAGACGACCAAATTTGACTTTACTTCCATGTGTTTCTTGCAACCAAGTGCCGCCGCTATCCCCGAATTTCCTACACCATACTGACTAAAAGCAATTCGTTGGAAATAGGCAGAGATGCAAATGAAATGAAAGAACAGGTACTTGGAACTCGAATTGCTGAATGAATATCAAGATCAAAAACACGTCCACCGAACCCACCTAAAAATAATGACTCCGGAAATCCTACAGGAATTTTGAGCCGGAGTGAGCAATTTATTGAAGAAATCAGAATACAAACCGTCATAGACGAGCGTAGAATTCCAAAGTGCAGAGATCTTCGACAGATGATACGAAATAACTAGAACGACACTTAGACTATCATTAAAGATTTGAAAAGTCAACATTGTTTCTCAGAGAAATAATGATTACGTTGAAAAACAAATCTACTGATAAAAGTAAAACTGGAATTTCCGGCACCAGAAATGCATATTCTTCTCGGAAGGGCGTGTCACCAACAAGTTGTCCAACTTCATCTCCTAAAGTCGCCTACTTTGTTGGTAAAACGCACGTCGAGAAGAGTGTTGCATTTCTGGTGACTGGGAAAAGTGCTTGTTTCAGACAAATCTACTGATCAAACCTCCGAATTGAAAAATGTGATCAAGCTAGATTTTTGAGAGATTACTTGAGGAGTCACTATAAAACCTGATGAAGCACATTCTGAATTTATACCACCGAGTGGTATACATTTTTACCTATAAATTATGATTAAAATAAATTTACCTATAAATTATCCTAGGGTTGATATAAATTTACCCTAAGACAATTCAATGATGCAAATTTATGCATCCAACCAATAAACTATGTCATACCATATTGAATAAAATGTGTGACAAAAAGCACTGAACCATTGAAATTTAATTTTTTTTTCTAATAATAACATTTAGTTGACTAAGCAAAACAATTATTCTCATAAATATGATTCTGTTTATACCTTAGGCAATTTGAAAGCAACAAAAAAGCATAATCCGCTCTGCAATCAGGGCCATTTCACGAAAGAAATGTTTCACCCGAAAATGAATGCCTTATAAGAAAAGTTCTTACTATCTGAAAATGATTTAGATTTTCCGAACGTGAGACATACTGTTAAACTTTTGTTTGAAGGTGATTCGTGATGAATTTCACTAGTTCGGACTTCCATCACCCGAAGACGATTGTAGATACCAACAATCGAAACGTCGTGAACTAACGTGACTTGGAATCTCTACACTTTATTTTTATTATTTTCTTTTTTGCATTCCTTTAATTTTATTTATTCAATTATTATATTTTTACTTGTAGGTTATTTCACTATCATTTCATTTCAGGTTTATTGTTGCTTAATATAATTGTTATTTTCAACTATTCTTTTTTAATTATTCTTTTTTACTTGTTTCAGGGATTTCAAATCATTTTATATAGTAGACAATGGAAGTCCGAACTAGTGAAATTCATACTGTTAAACTGTAGATATCGCGTTTCCGTTTCTAAAAATAATGCTCACCGAATGAAATTTGTAGATATTCGAGGTGTTCTACGTCACGGTGAACCCCAAGGTTTATGTCTATAGAGCTTAACATGTACCTTGTCGATATATATCTAGACGGAACTTTTTGATAGAAATATAAAAATTTCAAAAGCAAAGTTATTTTAGAGCAATATATCCTATCTGAGAAAAAAAACAATGAAATCATCAGCTGACCTCATAATTGATAAATGAACTGGTAATTCTTCAAGAATAACATGCAGTTTTCAGCATTCTGTGGTATAACTTACTACAATTCAACCCTCTACTATATAAGACATGTTTATTTACTTTATGAAAAATCATTTTAGATATCAGAAGACAAAGCTCAGCCATTATTTTGAATATTTGAAGATATGTCTTTATCGATTGGTGATCATTTTGGGAGGTTTTATTTGTTTAGGTGATATTGACTTTTACTATCGTAGATTGATAAAATATGTGCTCAGTGTTGAAAACGATTGCCAGCGGATATTGGAGATATCTTATTATCTGAGCTCAAATACTTGGATTTGATAGAAATCAAATCGAAATTATTGTTACTTGAGAAGAATAACTGATATTTGAAGAAAACAGTATTGATTTTTCAATATCAATAGACATTCTAATAGGTATGTCATCCTCATTTTTGTCATTAAAGTGAGTTGGGCAAAAACAAATTACATTTTCATACACCCTTCTATAGTTCTCTACGAAACTAGAGAACTATAGAATATTCAATCAATAGTTATGTAAAACAAATGCAAATTATTTCGAAACCGACAACCAATATTATCAACAAATTATCTGATTCAAAGATAAACACTGTGAGTGAAACCTTTCGATTTCGATCAAAATATTTGAACTCATGATTCGTTTCGATGTAATAGTTATTTTCATAATAAGTGTTTTTTTAATGGCACATGAGAGTGTGCCATTACTTGACTGTTTGACTATATTTGCTCGTAGATGCTTCAATTTCAAGAAGATGGATGTTGATTATAATAGCTTTAGTGATACCCCATTAGGTATATTTGAGAAAGCAAATGCATAAATATCTAATATGTTACCGGCCAAATCCAAATTAATATATGACAAAACATATGTGCAATTTCGTGGATGGTGCCACAAGAATGTAAAAATGTTTTTTGAAAATGTGCTTATATGCTATTTTGAGGAGAAATTTATAAAACCTTCTACGTTATGTAGTGTCTATTCAATATTGAAAAGTACATTGAATGCTGAGGAGAATATTGATATAAGGAAGTTTTAAAAATTGTTTCCGCTCATTGAGAACAAAAGCGTCGGATACCGGGGGAAGAAATCTAAAGTTTTATCAAGGGATGATATCAATGAATGCATTCAAGATGCTCATAACGAAACAAATTCACTTCATAAGGTACAAATATAATCATAATTTTGTTGAGATTAGTAGTAATTTCAATATTTTTTATTTGTAGGTTGTCCTAATTTTGGGTATCAGCGGTGCTTCAAGGCTATTGCAAAATGGCTTGGAAAAGATGAGTATAAGAGCTACACAGTTATCTCCAGCCGTGAAAGTTTACATTTTTCGATTGTTCTTTTGTTCGGCTTTCAATCTATTGATATTTTTAACATTGAAAGTCCTAATATTTAATTCATTGACTGAAAGTGTCGTAGTGGAATTTGAGTCATAACAAAACAAATTTGCTGTCATCAAAGAAAACCAGTAAGATATTGTGTGTATTGTTGAGAAAAGTATTGTTTGAATATTACGCAATGAGAAAACGGCTGCGTTATGTGCTGCTAATAAATTATTATTATCCACGAGCCTTGGAAATTGGGACAAAACATATTGAATAAAATAGGTACTTGGAAAATGACGAGGTTATTTATTTTGAAAATACATTTTTTTGGCTCGATAATAAAAATATCCAAAATAACTCAGAATTCAAAATAAACCAAGTTAAGCACTACGTTTCGATTCTACAAATTTGTTGACTCTCATACAAATTTTATCAAAAATATAGAATTTTCCACGTATTCTCTAATAAAACTAATATTGATAGCAAGTTTCTTCACACTGGGCACACTCCAGTGAGAACGAATTTGTAAAACTTTTAAGTAAATATATCGAGTAGCACACCAAAAACAAAACGGATACATTTTACAAAACGATATTTAGCAAAAACGCTCGGACCCGTCGATTTTTTTTCGAAAGGGACTAACACAACAGAATAAATGAGCGTATGTTTGTCTTTACTGTCATCGTGACAAGAGTAGATTCAACTCTTTCTTAATGTAATATTATGAATGAAATGAGTGTTTCATCTTGTAAAGTTAACTAGAACGGTACTGATGAGTTATCATGACGAGTGTTCCATTCCGAAATTTCGAAGTCCGCCATTGATGATGATAGCGCTTCATGTCGTAACTCTTTCATATATTACATTGTTTAGTGTTCCAATGGATGCTATCTGACTGAATTCCATAACGAATGTTTGTAGTACAAAATAGATAAAAAAGTGATTTTAATATAAAGCTATGTTCATAGGAAAGTAGCTCTTTCGAAAGTATTTTTTCTTCCGTATAATTCAATGTTCATGTGAAAGTAGTTGTTTCGGAAGGGTCTTTCCTTCCAGTTTGTGATCTCAAAATAACTTCTGTGCATGATCTTGATTGCTTTTTTTTCTCCATTCGGAAGTTTCCCACACGTTTTCTAAAAATTCTGTTTTGGTTTCAGTGAGGCATAATGAATAAATATGAAAAAAAACCGGTAAGTTACATAGGGGAGTGAACTGAAAAATAGATTGGAGAAAATACAAGAGCATTTGCTTCTTTGAAGGCATCCAATAATTTTCGCATCATTTTGTTCATAGCAGCTGCGAAAAAAATAAAAATGAAGAATTATATTAAAACGGCTACCTCTAACAGATATCTAAAAATCGAACTCTTTATGCCCTGAGCCCTAAAATATCATCAATTGTTGTATTGATAAAGAAGAGCAAATTAACGAAAATTGGTAGAAAATGGCATAACAAACATGAGTAGGAAGCGATTTTTATTCTATTACAATAATATTGCAAGAGAATATATTTCAAAAAGACATACACTAATTAATTATTTTTCTGATCACTGATCATAGAATATTTGTTTAGTTCATTGCCATTCCTATTGAAAAAAATGTTGGATTATGTCATGTTTAGAATAGGAATTCCTGAAATATCCGGTGATAAACAACAATACTTCAGGTAGATTAGACGAGTCCGTCAGATGACCTTGATCTCTCATTCTATTCATGGCCTACTAACAAAGACTACAAACTTTGCTACTAACAAGAGCACGCGTTGAGTTGAGAAACAAGCTCTTTACACCTAATAAAAAATATTTAAACACACTTTTATCCATTTCCAAATGAATATATTTCAGTCTACCAGGCATTCGAGAAGCGACGTGTTGTCGATATCAACAAATTGATAAGATAGCAGTAATCCATAGGTAATCCCTCACTTATTGACGTGATGTTCGTAAGATAATAATCCTGTCTTTGTGAAATCTGGAATTTATCGCTATTCTGAGGAGTTTGAATTTCGAGTTATAATTCATTTATTTTTTATATAGTAAGTACAATTTTATTTTTTTTGTTTGAGCCTTTAAAGTTCACCTGATAAATGTTTTTCTGCTGTTATGACTAGCACTTGAATCAGATGTTTGATTTGTTCTTTGAGTTAGGACTGACAATATTAATTGCCTTTTCATTTCTAGAGACAGCTAATGCATTCGTTAATCATTTCAATATTTTGGTTGATTATTATGAAAAACTTTTCTCTGTTCAACGAAATGAACTCAGAGGCAGCTGTACAACAAAATGTATCAATAAATATTTCGAATTATTTTTTGTATTACAAAAGTAGACGTACATAGTGGGTTATTGATTTTTCTCATAAAAATTTACAATTTCTGCAAATCGTCTTTTCAAAGATTTGATTTGCCTGAAAAGTCACTTCCGGAACAAACGTCCTATTTTCTTGATCAACATATATTTATCACATATAGTACAAGCACCTGAATAGAATAAAAGCACTTTATCCAATCACCGGAAATGCAATACATGACGTTTTCAGAAGACGAAGAAATCTGTTTTCTGAAGAGGAGTTGATTATCTTTTAAGAAATGTACAACTAATTCTCTTATCTATTATTTCATTGGAACCGAATGATCCAAAAAAACATTGCTAATCGCTTAACGCAGTTTATCAGTCGATACATTATTGAGAAGGCTAATTATCAGATTTTTCTCACAGCCACACGTTGATTTCTCAAAAAAGACAAAATAAGCAGTATATGTGCGGTTGAAGAAACCTCACCTAAATAAAAGAATGCGACTGAATATTATAGTCTAGTTCACAAGTTCAAATTCGTGTTCAATAGACATAAAGCTACTTTGAAAATATGATCACACAAAATATTGCGATTGTTATTGATATGAATAGAAAAAAAATGATTTTTTGTTAATGACTAAAATCTTTCAATACGTACCGCCGCTGACAGTAAGTATACCGCATGAAATCTTTTTTCAGTATCAGATATCAATTCTTGAGTCGGAATGAATTGTGGTGTTGAAAAAATCTTTATTTTTTTTAAATGTATACAACTGTTAGCTAACAACTTTGTTGCCGGCCACGGTTTTTGCAGATGGAGTCATGAAAGTTTAAATGATACGTTTGAAAAACGTTTACTTTTTGGAGCCGTTTTCATATATCAACTTGAAAAAAAACAACGAATCACCTTTTTTGGATATACTATTAACAATTATAAACCCCACGGAGAAATTCAGCCCATATCTACAGGAAACCAACACATACTGACAGATACCTGAACGCGACGTCACATCACCATCCAGCACAAATACAAGCGGTAGCCAAACCCTTATGACCAGATCTGAACACCTAACAGACGAATACACGAAGGGACCAGAAATGAAAGCCATACAGAAATCTCTTCAGCTGAATGGATATTGAAATCATACAATTAACAAAGCAGTACACCGGAGAAAGAAGAAAAATAACGGAAAAACAAACACAGTCAGGACATTCCACACCACAATTACAGCCTACGGCAACTTATAAGTGGACAAGCATCGACAGGGACGGCTTCTGTTTCAAGTAAAGCTACATGAATATTGCAAGTGAGATCTTTCCGAAACGTCGTCATTGTATCAGAGACGAACTGATGTACACACAGAATAAAGTACTACTTACGAAAAGTGAGGTTATGAATATGAAGCCAGCATGAAACTTATTTTTTCCTCAATAAATCATTAAATCAAAAGGATGTAAGAACACTTTCAAAATTTTACCATGTGGAAATAACTGCATAAGCCCTACAATTATTTACCTGAAGTGAAGTATAACAGTATCAGTCGAAAAAGGATTTTGCATTCAGAAAAATAATCTTGAAGTCAATAAGCCTCTTCACAACCTAACTAAATCTGGCTTTGAATTGAAATGTTTTTAACTAGCTTATATATTCCAAATTATGGAATTCCTCTATTTGTATAGTGTTTCAAGCACTCGAGTCGGTCCAACTCTATTCCTGACAATTAATGTATCATTAGATGATTATCAAATAGTTCATAAAATCGAAACACCAAATCCGTTGTTTCAGTTTAAGGAGAGAACTGTGTAAAGGGATTTGCGAATTTCTGAGACAATTTTGGATCAGAATGTGAAATTTATGTTTTTACGCCTTTTTCAAATGAAAAGTATCCTAAGAACCTAACTGTTGTTAACTGATCTTGAAACAATGTTGGCCCAATTATAACACCGATATCAGCGCAGGCTTTGATGACAAACCTTTCTTCAAAATTACTTCCTCTCACTTCGTCGCTAACTCCATGAAGTTACCTACAAGTGAGCCGAATTCTGAAGAGGGGCGATATAAGAACAGTATTCACAGCCAACAATCAAATTTCCAGTTTACTACGAACACCTAAGGACACGATATCCAATGAGACACAGGGCATATATAAAATACCATGCTCCATCTGTTCCAGAATTTATATCAGTCAGACCAACAAAACAGTCTCCAATAGAGCCTATGAACATGAGCTTGCTGTCCGTAAATCGGATCCAGCATCATCCCTTTTCATACATTATCGTGAAACAGGTCACACAATGAGCTTTAAAAACACCAAAACCATTTCCATCGAAAGCATTCTTCAGGCCAGGATAATCCGCGAAGCTATTGAAATTGAAAAAAGTCCCAACAGTCTCAACAAACGAGATGATTAAAAAATATTAGTCCATATATGGAAATCATTACTGTCACTCCGTACATCTCACAATATTGCACACCTCGCTTCTACAAGACACACCCCCCGTTCCCACTCGTCCAGGGTCATAAATACCAGACCTAAGCCTGTGAACCCACAATCGACGCTTGGGAGTAGGCAGATTGAGACCCTGGCAGAGAACAGTGACGAGACCTGGGAACTAGACAGATTGTGACCCCGGCGTCAAGTCACAAAACCCTCAAAGTATGTCACTACCGGAGGAGTAGGCAGGTTGAGACCTCAGTGTAGTCGTACCTTCCTAAAAATGACTCCAGTCGAAGTCTGGATATATATAAAATCGAGGAAGGTGAATGCAGTCAAGCTGCTGGAAAATAAGTCCATGACAATCAAAAGATAAATATATAAGTATTATTCTGATCATTACCATACTGATTTCAATTTAAGAGCCACCGGTGGTTCTACTTATATCTCGCTTGCATTCACGTAGCTTTTTTAAGTACTTTTCTTGGTTATTCACATTTTGTCTTCAATCGAAAACCTGAGTTATTCCGAATGAAAATGACCACATGTGTTAGATCATTGACACGAAATTAATAAATTATTTAAATACTGGCTTCAAATTAGGATTTTACTTTAATTCAAACTTTTCGGTGAATTTTATTTTTATGACCTTCTAGATCTAGATCTATACCTTCTATATCTTCGTTATATCATTGATTATAGAAGCATGAATTGTGACCAACTCTCAAAATATATTTGCAATAAGAATAAATGAATATAATATTGAACCCCGGTATGACAGACCGGTGTGACTACCGTTGTCAACACAATTTTTTATAACAAAATTCACTTAAATGTGAGTGCCTGTCACAATTTAGTTAAATTTTGAGTTTGAATGGAAATTTTATAATTTTTGAAATGCCGACTTCATTTTCGGATTTTTTTTTAAATTTTTTTGAAAGAATAACTTGTGGCCCTTCTACTCCTTCGTAGAATCTTAACAAAACAGGATACTGCTAATATAATTATTTGTGTTTTCTCCACAGATCAAAAAGTAAGTGAGAACTTCTGCAAGAATGAGCAATAACAACGATACAAAAACGGATAAAACTGAAGAAAACGTTTCGGAACAGTTGAACACTGAGGGGGAGGAAGCTTCTGCATCCGAAATTCCGGAAGATGCGCCCGATGGAAGTGAAAAACCCCATTCGAGATCGAAAAGGTCATTGATCAACGTTCCCGAACGAAATAATGTCGGTCCTGATGGTCAGGTAGCTGTTGACTTTTGAAGAATGCAGTTCACACTAAAATTGTTTTTGTTCAATTATAATTGAATTTAACCTATCGTAGCTTAGAATATTACTTGATGTATTCAATGATATAGTTTTAAAATTCAATATTATGCATTTGCAATTTGCAAGTTGTATTTTGAAATGATTTCAGGAAATTTTATTCACATCTAGATGAAACATGTTATGTAGAATGTTTTTTGTAGAATTAAAATCATTCAAAATTATTGTTTTTGCACTGTCCGAAGTAGTTCCTTTCCCATTTATAACTAACTCAATCAACGAGGATTTGGATTTGGAAAACATATATTACGTACATGTGGAAAAAAAGGTTGATTAATATTCTGACACAGTAAAATTTAACGTTTTCGATTTTTTTTAATTCGAACTAATACCCATTTCAAAATCAGTAATAAATGATTTTTGGAAAAAAATCTGTTAAAAACTGTTTTTTCGTTAACCAGTTGTGGCCCCCCTATAAACGCCAAATCTCAAAAGTCGAAACTTGTACGAACTAAGGACTAACGAGGTCTTACTTTTCAACGTGTGATTCCTAACACGGGTTCAAAATAAACTCTTGATGAAGGTATGTAGATTATGCATAAAAGTTACTTTCAGATACAAATTTGAAGGAAAAGCACTTTCGAAACATCTAATTCCATATTAACATAGATTTATACGAAAATCACTTTGTCCTATTCAGTTTGTACTTCAAATATGCATATGGAATTGAATCAGATATCATCCATGGGAATGCTTTCTTCTTTCCTCAGAAAGTTTTCCACATTTTTTTGTATAAAGACGGAAAAGTAGAAAGCCAAAACCTTTTTGCCTCAAAAATCAATCTTCTAAAAATATAATCCTTTCAATTTGAACAAGATTTCTATGACTGGGATTAAATTAAATAAGCGAATGAATACTGTTATTAAATAAATTGATGAATGTAGCCGTTACTAGGAAATCATAATGAAGAAAAGAGAATTGAAAACTTTTTATGTTTTTTACCACTATGTGGTTTCAAATGGCGTGATTTTCTCTTTCGAGCTTTTCAACCAGAAAGATAGTTATATGACATCCAGTGACAATTGATTTAAATTTGAAAGTAAATTTTTGCAAAATTTCTCATTTCTCAGGTGGAAATATCTCTCTCGTTAAAAAAGTATCTTTATGTGCTTCAAACGCACAAATCTTTTTGATGTCATTATGTTATATCCATAAACATTTCTCAAGAAACAAACAGATACATTTTGTTCTTCACAAAATTCGTTTCTAAGTAATTGAATAGTGAAATTTATAGGTTCAGACTCCCAATGTGTGAAATTGGTTACTGATTTGAATCTGGAACTGAGATATATGATGGAATCGGCCAATACTTCATGAAAATCCATAACTAACGTATTCCAAAAACACTTTATTGTGAGATTTTCACTAAATTGTTTTACAAAAACGCAACACGTGTTTCGCCATACAAATGGCTTCATCTGGCGTGTCTTTCAACTAATTCTACACATTCAATACTAAATATATATATAGTTAATGGAGTACCTGAAATCAAAGTACCTGTAAACGAAGTACCTGAATTTTAAGTAAAGGATTAACGAGGTCTTACCTTTTAACGTGCGATTCGCTAAATGGTTTGCTGATTGGGCTTCCGTTTAAACTACTGGTAGATATGGTTTTGAAAGGGTTTTCTGCCAACTAGTTTTTGTCCCCTTACGAACGGCAACCCTGAAGACGTTCTACTGGCATGGGTATGAGCATATGCAATAAATACTAATAGCCCGAGAGTTAGGATCGAAAAACTTTTTCTATAGAGGTGGTTTCATAAGTAGAACTCACTAACGAACCAGCTATTGTCTACCAATCGTTTCTCCCATAATATCTAATTTGCGACTTAGAAGAACAGCAGGAAAATATCTCAAAATTATTTGATTTTTCAATTTCAGTTCTAGAAATATATCTTTGGAAATGATTGGCAAAGAAGGTGCATTTATCAGTTAACGTTAGGGTTGATTAAACGTTAAAAATATGAATTATTGAGATTTTCATTGGGTTTCAAAAGGTTTTTCATTTCTGAATAAATGATAGACGACTGACTGAAAAATCGTGCGCAATGAACAAGATGTGTTTCAAAAGTCATAAAAAAATGGTTTGGATTCGGAATTTTCCATAAAAGTATTGGTTGTTTGGTTAACCAGATTTAAGGAAACCTTGTTCAAATATAACAATTTTTTTACGTTGGATCATTCCACCATATTTCTGAATACTTCTTGGGTGCCAAGATTGGGTTTTGATTATGGTATGCCTGCATAGTTGAAAGTTTTACTGGCGTCTTTTTTTTTCAAGAGTTTTGTCGGTAAGAATCAATTTTCAATCAGTGATCATTTTGTGAATACAATCTCAGTAATCCATGTACTGTACGGGGATCAAACAGTTTGATCCCTGTAGTTTACGGGGATCAAACTGTTTGATATGTCTCTTGAAGATGATCACTTGGTGATTGAAACACGTGTCGAGGTATTGAAATAACGATTTGATTTTTGGGAAAAAACGAAAGTGGGTAATTTTCCAACTTTATTCACTGCCCTTGATAGGATAGTAATGATTATTATTTATTATTGATCAGTACTATAAAAATGATACGGCAGAAATGAGAGCTTCAGTTTCAGTTAATACGTCAACCACGCCACTGAAGATGACTGCCGCAGTTGCAGTTGAAAGGTTTGGAGATTGTAACCAAAGAATACCAACCAAAACATACGCAAGAGTTCTGGAAAAACTACAGTTTCATAATGTATACCTACGTCAGATTTCACGGATCTCCATAATAAATCTAAGAACGGTGCACTGGTTCACGTTTATAATGCCTCTTAGAGCCTTTTAAAGAGACACGTGACATATAAAGTATACAATACACAAACGCAGTTCATCGTAGAACTCGTAGAGAGAAAAAGAGGCGCTTGCAGTGAAATTACCCCAGAATTATTTCATAATGTAGGGCATTGGTAAAAATACTTCAGTATTGTCAGAAAGTGAATGGTGAACGTTTTGAATATTTATTGGGATGAACAGAAGAGGGTTTTTTTAAATCATGATTTTTAACGTCAGTTTGTAGATTATTCGAAGGAATATAAAACTGTTGATCCGATTTCCAAAAACTGCGAATGAGTCCGGTTCTGACTGAGTAAACAACAGGTGTACTTATCAGAATCGTTTAAAATTATTATTTTATTAGTGAAATAAACCATTCGAAAATTTTACGACTTTCACACGACTTCACAAAATTGGAGACCACTTGGAGACCCGTAAGTCCATTGTTTTTTATTAAATTAATTCACCTACAAAACAAGAACATAGTAAATTGCTGTCAATCCAAGAACGCATACTGTCTGTTATCATCGTCCCAGGAAGCAGCGTGCAGGTCCGTACTAGACCTCGATGAAACCAACCAAACATGCCGAAGTTTCCTATAATACTACTACTACCATAACTACTTGAAGTTAGAAGACTACCTCCTTGCTTTAGGTGGAAAAGTGAATCCGAAGGATATCCTTTTTTCCTCAATAATTTCAAACAACAGAGTATGCATATATCTATCTAGCGAAGAAAAAGTTGAAGAATTCATGAACAACGCTAACGGAAAAATTATTCTCAACCAAGAAATCCATACAGCTCGAAGACTAATCACCGCCAACGGAAAGCTAATGATTTCAAATGTGTGCCCTTCTATTCCCCATAGTTTCTTGGAGCAGGCATTACGCAAGCTAAATCTGAACCTGATGTCACCAATTTTGAGAATAGGAGTTTCTAATACCGAATACAAACACAGTCTTAGCTTTCGAAGACAAACGTATGTTAATCCTATAGACCATACCAAAATCTCCCACTCAATAATTATAAACTTTGACGATACACCCTACTGTATATACCTCTCTTTGAATTATCAGCTATGCTTCAGCTGCCCAAACAAAACCGAAGACCCTCAACACCTAAAGGACGCTGCGACAGAAAACCCGGCCGTCGTTGTACAGAACGACACAGTCAACACCGATAGCAATCCCCAAGAAACTGTTAATGAAAATCCTTCATCAAATAATCCAACTAAGAGAACTAGATCTGAGATAACAACTCCACCGGCCCTTTCACATCTCCAGAAGATATAGCAGAAACCCTAGCGGCCTCCCTACAACAGCACTCCAGCAACGATAGGTTTCCTGACGTTATTATAAAACAGACGAGGTTAAGAGAGAAATCTTTTACAATTTCTTCAGCCACAACATCAAATACAGTGGACAATCAAATAACTTTAAGAGAAATTTGCGAATGCCTCAAATGCATGAAAGATTATTCTCCTGGCCCTGATGATATTCCAACAGTTTTACTGAAAATGTTACCAGACAATGCTTGGGAATTGCTGCTCAAAATATGCAATATTATCTGTAACAAACAAGTATTTCCTCAGAAATGGACCGGATCAATAATTATACAATACATAAAGAAAACAAATCAAAATCATCCCCAGAATCATACAGACCAATCTCGTTAACATGTGCAATGTGCAAGTTGTTAGAAAAAATCTTCAATGCCAGATTTACATGGTTCTTACAAGAAAAGAAACTTCTAATACCCGAACAGCGTGGTTTCCGGAAAAAGAGATCCACACTAGACAACTTGGTGGACCTTAAATCGGAAATACACGAGTCTTTTATCAACGACCAAGAATGTATTGCGATCTTCTTCGATATCGCCAGAGCATATGATTCGATACGACAACATACAATACTGAAAACACTGCAAAAATGGTCATTTGGTGCAAACACTCGCAAGTTTTGAGTACGAGCTGACGGAATCCTGTCCCACGAAAATTCAGGAAAACGGAGTACCTTAAGGTTCTCCTTTGAGCACAACACTTTTTTTTGTAGCCATCAACAGCATAATAGAAGAGTGCACCACACCGCTCAGTCTACGAGACTCTGCTCTGCCGAAGACTACGAGATCGCAGACGGTCTCGTAGTCTTCTACGACGATCTACAACGTTTTCTTGTTAAACTCCAAGACTGGTTCTCTTCCACAGGACTTCAAATATCAGAAGACAAGACCAAGTGCATCCGGTTCTGCAAGAGATATAAAGGAAACCTGGCCCAATTACAACTCTTCGGCAAGAGTATCCAATACGTAGAGAATATAAAATTTCTATAAATGGTTTTAGACCACCGACTGAACTGGAAGCTACATATTCAACATCTTAAAATCTCCTGTCAGAAAGGACTGAATTTGATGAAAACCATTTCCTCTGAAAGTTGGGGTGCCGATTCAAAGACCTTAATGCAAATCTACAGGTCATTGATACGATTCAAACTAGACTACGGGGCAATAATATATAACTCGGCAAAGAGGACAATTCTGAAATAACAGGATACCATTCAGAATAATGCCATCAAAATTGCAATTGGAGCCTTCTGCACTAGTCAGGTAAACAGCATCCGTTGTGAAGCAGGTGACCCATCATTATCTTCTCGGAGACAACTCCTGACTCTTACATACGCAGCTTCTGTCAACTCAAATCCAGAATATCCAGTTCACCACAACATCGTCGCAAACATATTTGAAAACACTTTTGCTAGAAAGAAAAGAGCTGATTTTCCATTTTATGAGAGATATAACCGCTACCGATCCAGTTTACGTCTTTCACTTCCAAATATTATGAATACTTCAAATATATCGAACCCTCCTCCCTGGACAATTCCTCAAATACAAACAAACATAAGTCTTACCCAGTGTAACAAAAATTAAACCAATCATGGGATAATTAAGACAGAGTTTCACCTACTAATAAATCAATATGAGGACTTTTGTTTGATATACACGGACGCATCAAAAACCGAAGAAGGTGTTGGGGCAGTTTTCATAAGTTCTGATTACAAGACCTCCTTCAAATTACCTAAAGAGAGTACAGTATTCACAGGGGAATTACATGCTATATTGAAAGCATTACATTTCGCCGAAGTAAGGAATCTAACAAAATGCCTTATTATGACAGACTCACTGAATGCACTTGAGGCAATTGAAGAACTTTACATCAACCACCCCATCATACTCCTAATGAAAAGAGCTATACAATCTCTGCAAGAAAATGAAGAATCAAAAATTCATTTCATGTGAATTTCATCGCATATAGAAATATCAGGTAATGAGATGACAGATAGGAAGCTATTACCAACCCGATTACAGCAACAGAACTTCAAGTTGCGTACCGAGATCTGAAACTCTTTTACAAACATATCCTCTCCAACTGTTGGCAATCCCAATGGAACGAATCATCCTCAAAATTATCCAGCATCAAGACATCGATTCTACCATGGAAGAACACATTTGATAACATGCGAAAACAAGTAATCCTCTCACGACTTCGATTGGGTAATACACGCGCTACTCATGGACATCTGACGGGCGAATAGCAACCTAAATGTACAGTGTTGAACATATGTCAACCGAATGCGTTCTATATCATAATGATAGACTCAATTTCAATATTACCCGTTCACTCATAGATATATTAGGAGAAAATTGTAATACTGACAATCTCTTAGCTTTTCTCAAACGCATTAATATGTTACACGAAATATAGCACTAGCATAATCTGTATCACTGAACTTACGCTAATAACCCTACGTGGTTGAAGCGTCTTTTTAATAAAAAAAAAAACTGCGAATTTTGAAATAGCTTAATATAAACAATGCGTCTTATTCTGATGAAGTGCTCTACATCGTACCTAAAAATATGCAAATGAACTCGCAGCGGTATTTTGCAGATTTTTTAACCTGTCTTACAAAGAAGGAGTTTTTTCTCCTTGTTGGAAGGTTGCTCGTGTTCAGCCTATTCCCGAAAAGGACAAGAGAAATCTTCCAAATAACTATAAACCAGTCGCTTTGCTATCAGTGATATCAAAAATCATGGAGAAAGCCGGAAACCACCATATCCTTAAATATTCGGAAGGCTTCAACATCTTGAGCGATCATCAATATTACTTTCGGAAACAAAGATTAACAGGCAACCTTCTATCGTTTGTCATCCATACTTGGAATAATGCAATCGAGAAACATGGAGAGTCAAGAGTCAAGAGCGTCATTCCATTTACATTCCAGGACATCGATAACTGGAGGTTGCATATCTCAATGATGATCTAGAAGTGATTTCGAATCAGGGTGAAACTAACCAGGTTCAATTCAATGCCATATAAACGCAGGCATCGGTTTTCTCCAAAAAGATGAATGTCTCTGAACTGAATATAATAGTGTTAGGACAGATAATTCTGCTTTCTGCTTTGGGTTAAAATGGACACCGATATGTCTTGGAACAAAAACTTGGAACACTGTTCCGAACCAGAAAATTGTTCACACTACAGACCTTCTTTGGAGTATTGTTCCCAAGTATGAAGCTTTCTCTTCTAATAAAGATACTTTCACGGAAAGTGTTCAAATAACTTGGCACATTTGGCACCAAGAGCGATACATATCAGATATACGCTACGGACTGTTGCTGCTCATCGTTTTGAGGTTCAACTCAGTACACCATGAACTTCACTGTTTAAGAACTCTTTCATTTGGAGAGCTGCGTTTATTTATTTCTTATTTTTTTGCGAACAAAATACAAGCACTACAGGAAAATCCTTAAGGCGCTCTGAGAGCGGTTCCCGTGCGACAGTATCGATCCACATTGGATTTGAATGGCTAGAGATTAAATCCATTTGAAAAAACATTCTCAGAAAGTTTATTCCACATAAACTCAGTTCTCCAAATGAAAGCGTTCTTAAACAGTGTATTTCTGATATGTACTGCTCTTGGTGGAAATAAATGTGCCAAGTCATTTGAACACTTCCCGTGAAAGTATCTATAGAAGAGAGACAAATCTTCAACCTTTCTTCGAAGTTCCAGGCTATCAAAGTTGCACGTGATGTTTGCGTCTCCAATCAGGCGGATAGCTCTTTTCTGGATGGGATCCAGCGACTTCAGGGTATTTTTGGGGGCAGAGCTACATATATGAGAACAATACTCCAAAGCAGGTCTGATCTGAGCTTTATAAAGCATCAAAATTGCTGAGGTGTGTACAGTTTTCTAGTTTGGAACAGTGTCCCAAGCTTTATGTGCAATAACATTCCTGAGAAAGTTTTTCTGAATGGATGTAATCTCGAGCGATTCAAATATATTTTGAATCGCCACTTTCGCACAGACCGCCCTCTTAGAACGCCTCAAGGATTTTCCTGAAGTGTTTTGTCCTTGAATAAACTTTACTGGAAACAGTATTGAAGTACCTAATTAACGAGGTGTTCCAAGATTACCTTTGCTATTGAAAAAAGCAGATAACACGAGTTATCTAACACTATCGTCTTATCAACAAAATGTTCCAACAATAATTAATTTCATGAAAATTTTATTGAAGTCAGGAGGGAGGGACCTTTTCTCAATCGCGCTGCATATATTTACTCAAGAAGTAAAATATGTTGGTGGAAATAAATTACGTATAATTTTTTGCAAAACTATGTTGCGCAAAATAACGCAATAACAGCAGACGCCATCTTCTACGGACTCTCAATTTCGGATTCACTATCATCGATATAATATGTTTTTATTTCAAGTTGCCTAACACAGCTTTTTCGCCTACATTTTTGTGACTAATCAATTCCACGATTTCATGGAAATGAGAATAAGTTTACTCAAGTTATCTGGTAATTGTATTCCAGGCAATAAATATATTTAACAATGCACTTTCATGAATCATTGCAAGTTACCTGGTGCTGTGTTAACTACCTGTCTTATCGAAGCGAAAATGTGGAAATGTTGCTTTGCATGCCTCAAGTAAGTAGCCTTTGTAGTTTATTGTACCGTAATAAGTCGGTCGGTAGCCGATCGGTTCGACGTGGGTGCTTTGTTCACTCACTCAAATCGGCCGCCGCCGCCGTGTTGGTCGATGGTTCAAGCCTCAGGCTGAACGATCATGTCATGTATAATAGAGTTTGCCTCTGATTATGCTTAACTTTCAGTCAGAATAAATTTGCAAACAGTACACCTTTGGACTGTGGTAAGGCGAGTCGTGGGAGATTTTTCTTCGGGTTCTTCTGATTGCTCCTTATTTCTTTCATTATGCTGTTTATTTCTTCGGAATCTTTGAGTTTTTCTCAGTCATATCATCTTCTTTTTTCCCAATGAACATAGAGTGGTCTCCGTTACTTTCTAGATTGATTATTTCATTGCACTTTGGTAGAGTCTAAGTCTCCATTATTCCCAAGGATACTTGATTGGCTGGCAATGATGTATAACCCAGTACGTTGCGATATTTAATTTCCTTCGTTTGTTTGGTGTGCTACGGTTTGGTTCTTCTGCGAGTTTTTTGTTGGAGCTGGGATTTTTTTCCTGAATTCCGTTTTTCGCGCAGGTGCTCGGTTCATTGCCGTTTTTTATCAAGTCTACACTTTGTTGTTGATATAGGGATTCGTTTCTTCTCTAATGAGGCAATAATATTTTCTTCACAACTGATATATGATAATATATCATATGATAATATTATCATAATTTCTTATTTCTTCTTCTCAATTTCGAATAATATTTACTGGAAAAATAACCCCATAAGGAGTTTTGAAGAACTCAATTCATTATCACCGATTGTAATAAACATAAATCGAAGTTCTTATTCACATATTTTAAAAAATTATATTTTGAAACTGAGATTACTGATTGAATCAAGAGCCAATAAACAGAGTATTTGAAATCCAACACACTCTGGTTCCAACTTTTCTAGATCAACTTCTTATCATGAGTGTGATTTCAAAGAGAAAAACTACCTTTCAAAAAATGTACCAACGGCTGGGCTAGTGGAATCCTTCTGTGAAGGCATTTATGAGCATCCGCAAACACTGACTTTGGACACTTCAGCCCTAGCCCAATTCGATACTTTCAGTAGAGAGCTTCAACAAGACTTTTGATACATTATTGCATGAGCACATCGTTCATTTGCTCAGATGTCTTGTGATACCCAATCAAGTAGTGAATTACCTAGATCAACCGATACAGCTCTGTATCTCACTGCATTCCACTATGGATACAGCTACAGCACCCCCGGAGGTTGGATTCATAAAATCACTCATTCAATCCATCTGTATGATCTTAAAATGTTCGCCGTTGGATAAAAGGATCTACATCAGTCTTTGAAAGAATACAAGTGGACTCGAAAACTGTTTCGAGGTGATGACCCGAAAAAATGTACTTTCATAGGATCTCGTCAAAAATTTCGAAAAATCGTTCATATTTCAAAAACGAATAATTTTAAGATTTTATAGGAAAAAGTTGTTTATTTTGACGAAATCCACCATGCACTTGGTTTTTGTAATGTTATCAGCAACTTTACTTAGTAGCTAAGTAATATGCATCGATATAGAAAGCTGTAAATATTTCGAAAACGATCACCTCCAGGGTGTACCTTCTTCACTTGAAATAAGTGTCGGAATTAAGTTTTTACATGAAAAGTACCGAACGTTTACTACCGAAAAAGTTAAGGCAATTTGAAATAAATGACAGCGTACGAAGCGCCCCCTAAATGTTACATGAAAATCAATACAAAATTACGATTTCAAAAAAACCCTGCGTACCAAAATTTGTGCAAATAACTTGTTTTTGCAAGGGTTATTTTTGGAAAACGAGCAAAAAAATTCTATTTCAACACCCTGTATCTCCGAAAAGAAGCATTTCCGGACACACGTTTATATAGACTTTTTTTTCATAAAATTGTTTCAGCAGTATTTCGTTTGGAATACAAACGGAATAGAGGAAACTGTTTTTCGTATAATTCAGCTTTTGTATGGAAGTATGTTTCGGGAGTATTTTTCTTTCGTGTAATTCAATGTTTATATGAAAATAGCTGTTTCGAGAGGGCTTTTTCTTTCAGTTTGTGTTTGAAAGTTACTTCTTCGCATGATCTACACATCTTTGAATAGAGTTAATTTTTTGAAATTGATTCCTTTTTTTCTTTGGAAGATTCCCACATTTTTTGTATCAAGACGGAGAAGCAGAAGGCCAAAATCTTTCTTCCCCAAAAATTAACCTCTTCTAACAATATACCCTTTCAATTCAAATAGGGATTTAGTTTATACTGCTTCAGCCCAGCACTCTCTGCTAGCTTGCTTCAATAAATCAATGGATTATTTTTTCGTAGTCATGAAACTCTCTCAATTGAATCATATAGACTTTTTCATTGAGGTCTTTGTGTTGAAATACGCTAACAGCATCTATTTGCTCTATGTCTGAGTAGCATATTACAGCTAGAGTTACAAAGTAGCGGGTAAATGTATCTGACCACTGAGGAAAATACTTCATCATAATCGATTCCATTCCTTTATGCACATCCTTTGATAACAAGTCTTGCTTTGTAACGCAGTATGTTTCCTTTAAACTCCCTTCGGTTTTGAAAATCAACGTATAGTTCATGGGTTTTTTATTTGGAGGCGAATCTTCTAATAGAATCCATGTGTGCTTTTCTTTCAAGGAATCATATTCATCTAATATTGTTTCTTTCCCAAGCTCTCCATCGCATCTTCAATAATCAAGGAAGCTTTTACAGCATTCATATTAGCGGTTTTCGCAGAATAAAACGGATACATACATTTCGTGTTAGGAATCACACGTTAAAAGGAAAGATCTCGTTAGTCCTTAGCGTGTACAAGTTTCTCAACTTCTGAGAGTTGTCGTTCGTCAAGGGGGCGACAGCTGATTTACGGAAAAACAGATTTTAAACAGATTTTTTTCAACATTGTCATCTAAATTGATGAATGAAGCCATTATGGTAGGAAATCATAATGAAGGAAAGAGAATTGAAACTTTGTATGTTTCGTCCTATGAGGACATTTTCAAACTTAAACTAACTCTAATGTATTAATTAATACAGTTTATTGTATGATGTTCACTATACTTAGTTCTATTCAGTTAACAAAAATAATTTCCTTCTATTTCAGATCATACTACAGACGCTTTCGTTATGGGATATGTATCATTGAATATGTATTAAAAAAAATTGTAATGTGGCGAAAAAATCGATATTTTTTCAGTGTCCTCACCTAATAACAAAATAAGAGTATAATCTGAAATAGCTTAATGTTACACTTATTTATAAGAAGCTTGGTAGAGCATTGGTTGAACTCTGGAAAGTTAACCAGTGATCGTGTTTTTTTGTCGAAATATGTGAAATTGAATGAAATAAAAGAATATTTATGAATATTTTCTCAGGTTTCTCATTGTTATGGAATTCAATGGTAGTACTGCTCTCATTCGGGGTATCCTTCACAAATGAATATTATTTTAAAATATTTCTAATGCGAGTCCTAGTTCGTCGCCCAATACGATTAACCTTATCTTCATCAAAAATGTCAGAAACTTGGGCGAGCTGGTCATCACAGTGGACAAGCTGAGCTCCGACCACTGTCTGGTGCTCTTTAGTTTCACTAGAGATAATCCGATAACAAGGAGATTGAAGTATGACTACAGGAGCACCGACAGGAAGGAGTTCAGATCGACTATGAATGGATCAACCGTGATAAAATGCAGCATATCGAGAGATGATCTTGGTATGGTCTGTGAGCAGTTAGTCTCAAACATCCAGAAATTTTGAGACAGGTCGATAAGGAAAATCGTGGAGAAAGGACATCGATATATCCTTCCACTGGACATTGTTCAACTCATAAAGGAAAAAAACCACCAACACACGTGGTGGCAGCGAACACGAGACCTCTGCTAGAAGGATCACATGCTGATACTTGCGGTGGAGGTCAATGAACGCATCTTGGAGTTCACCCATGAAAAGTGGTGGGATAAGCTCGAAAGTTTTAGTCTGAAAGATCACTCTGTGTGAAGGATCGCTAAGAAGCTAAATAACCGCTTGATAGTTGAATAATTAATACATCATTCATCAAAATAGGTGATCGAACACGGAAAGATACCAAAGAAAAAAATTCTCATGTATTTGAATGAACTGAGAAATGCAGAAAAACGTAACAGAAAAACATATTGAGAAAGAAAATTGTCGATATTTTATCGGTGCATTTAATGATCATTCACTAAGACAGATACGTAGAAAGATAATGGAACTTATTTTTCCTCGTCCGATTTGAAGATCATTTTCCTACGTCCTAAAACACGTCATAATTTCAAATTTTCAAAGGCTTGAACATTATTAGCTTTGAATTTTTGGGAAAAAATTTCCAAGCACTCAAAAAACTCATCCGAAATGTATACTATAATTCGATTTTGTTAACAGACAGAAAGGCGACCGTTCATCGAGGGACACTATGGAAATGGAAATGAAACACGATACAAATAATGGCGAAACAAAAACAGGCAATGAGTAAGGAATTTCTCAACTTCTTCAACCTTCAATTCATTTCAACAATTCAATTAATTTCATGAAAACTGTGTGTGTTATTTTGGAATTTCCATAGCGTTGAATGGAATTATGTATCGATATTCCAACTTTTTCAGGAACTGGAACTCATTACGGCAAAAAATGTCTTACTACCCTTACCAGAAAATGAATGAATTCACTGCGTGAGTTTTTGATTGCTTGACATTTCTCATGTTTGCAATTTGAAAAAGGGGGGTAACTACAGAAATTGAGTCCATTATGAGCAATCGTTGAAAACTTTGCTCTTTTCATTATTGTTTCATATGAAGCTCTGTATTTTTCATTTGGTTGTCAAATTGCTAATACATTTTTCTTCAGGAAACACTTAACATTTGTAGAAATTAAAATTTCGGTTTGAAAATCCGAGAAGGTGCGAAATAACGGTTCATTTTTGAATTATATTTACTTCACCATCAAGTTTACTGTTTATTCATTTTCGAACTCGAGGATATGTATGGAATTTGATGAAAACTACTTCTTTTTACTGAAAGGTAAAATCTCTTTCATTAAATGAATCAAACAAACTAGAACTGTAGCACTTTTGTTGATGTGCCTTTTACCAAGTGAGTTGGCGAAGTTAGAAATGACATGAATGCGTTTTTGGAATCGTATTAGAATCCGATCTGATTTTATCTCGTCAATAAAGATAAACACGATTGTTCGGTTTGAGATTTCTAACTTTTTCCACGCACGATTTCAAAGAGAGTGAAATAACTGGTCGTTTTGAATTAAATTTTTCATAACCTGATATATTGTATTTCCCTATCATTTTCGAACTTTTAGATATGCATAGAATTTCAAAAACACTCCTTTTATAAAATTTGTACTTGCTACTTTTATAAAATAAATCCAACAAAAATACTTTCCCATACATCAGAACTGTAACACTCTTTTTGACCAACTTAGATGACGACGTTAAGAGATAATAGTAAATTATTTTGCTTGATGAAATATGTGTCAAAAAGAGCGTTAAACTGTGAAAGAGTTTATTCAGTTCTTTACTTCTTATAAGTAGTCGAAAATATGTGTGTTTGATTATGCTGTCGGGACCACTTTAATAACATGCTTGTACTGTTGAATACAAATAAAAATTTTTACTGTCTGTATGAGCATTCACCAATCAGAAATAAAGCTGTCACTTTCCATAATAACTACTATTTCCAAAAACTTGAAACTATTTGACATATTATTGCATATTTGCATTGTTCCTCACATACAACTGAAGTGACTTTTCCCTATTAGCAGACCAACCGGTGAACAGGCACCAGTAGAAACTGATGAAGGAAATTCAACCGAAAGAACCGAGAACAATCTACCCGTTATTCGCAATGAATGTAATCGGAGGTCAATATCGGATACTCCCAATATTTTACATACGGGTTTATCTAACCTAAGAGAAGGAGGTTTTTGAAAATGGAATGAAAGAATATGTGAAATTATATTAAATAGCGTACATAATAAAATTAGTTTGTAGGAAATTATTGGAAAATGTGATCAATTAAAAAATCAATAAAACTTCTTCAGTGACAATAACTAAGTTCGTCAATGAATTTTCCTGGCCCTTTCTCTATTATCCTCATCACATCCTATCTCGTTCTCCCTGAAATCCGTTTTTGAATTACTTTTACATCATCAGAGAAATGTAGATAAGAAATTCAACCGTATTCAAAATTTCAACTAGTACATACATAGTTAAGGAATAACGCAGGGAGTAAGGAAAATTGATAAAATAACAATGGAAAAATTTCTTGGGACAGCAAGGTTAAGGCTTTCTACTTCTCCGTCTTCATACAAAAAATGTGGGAATCTTATTGAGAAGTTTTCTGTTCAATGAAGATTTTTCTTACTGTTTGTAGTTCATTGAACCTCAGAAGATACCTCAAATATTTGAGTTTTTACAAACCCATTTTTTACCTTTGTATTAGCGGAAAATTTCAGAAGAAAATTTCGTCAAATTTGTACAGAAAATCATTGACATGTGTCTGAAAGTGAATGTTAGACATGAATGGTTCCGGAGATAGGATTAGTCTACTTAATCTTCTGAAGACGCCAACTTGGCTGATGAAACGCGCGTTGCGAAGAGTATTGCAGATTTAGTCTTAGGAAACAGTGCTTGTTTGGATTCAGACTAGAGTTTTCAGTTCTACCTTTCATGGATCATATCAAAAATGATTTTTTGAATTACGTCTTTTCAGTTATTTCCATTTCCGACAAATTTCAAATGTTACTTTTCCTTTGAATCATCTGAAAGTTTATAATTCTACGAAGAAAATAACGATAGTTGATTTTGAAACAAATGTTTTCTGCACATGGCTATTTTCAGGTTGGTATCTATAATAATAATAATAATAATTATAATCCGTTGTGGCGAACGAGAAGTGCCAAATTTATTGGAACTATTCGTTCCCCACCCTCAGGCTCATACAAGCTAATAAGCCTGATGTAGTCCTTCTCGACCACCAGACCAAGACGATATTTGTCGTGGAGTTTTCAGCTCCTGGCGAGATGAATATCGTCAGAAAAAAGGGGGAAAACGGATGAAATATCGAGATTTTCTCTTCGAACTCCGCAGACTCTATCCATATCACTATGTCAAGATGGTTGTTCTGATTATTGAAGTCCTTGGTGGAATGATGTCTTCTCTACTCTCGACTCTTAAAATCATACCGGCTTGCCGAACTAAGGCAGAACTCTTAGCCGCACAGATGCAGAAGGCTGTCATTCTTGGCTCACTGCGCTTGCTCAGGGCACATGATTCTCGGACCCAATGATCACTTACCCCACGGTGTGGGGAGTGGTCATTGATTGATGATGCTGGCGCGCCCTCCCAAATGTATCGGGGCTTCGGGGGATAGGGCCTGACCAGCGCACACTACAGTGAAAACATAATAATAATAATAATAATGAGCCTGATGTAGTCCTTCTCGACCACCAGACCAAGACGATATTTGTCGTGGAGTTTTCAGCTCCTGGTGAGATGAATATCGTCAGAAAAGAGGAGGAAAAACGGATAAAATATTGAGATTTTCTCTTCGAACCCCGCAGACTCTATCGAGATCACTCTGTCAAGATGGTTGTTCTGATTATTGGAGTCCTTGGTGTAATTATGTCTTCTCTACTCTCGAATCTTAAAATCATACCGGCTTGCCGCACTAAGGCAGAAATCTTAGCCGCACAGATGCAGAAGGTTGTCATTGTTGGCTCACTGCGCTTGCTCAGGACACATGATTCTCGGACCCAATGATCACTTACCCCACGGTGTGGGGAGTGGTCATTGGTTGATAATGCTGGCGCGCCCTCCCAAATGTATTAGGGTTTCGGGGGATAGGGCCTGACCAGCGCACACTACGGTGAAAAAAAAATAATAATACATCTTTATTCATTATAAAAATAAAAATGGAATAGACAAAAATAAAATAAAACGGTATACAGAAACAAAAAACAAAAAAAGAAAAAAAACTTCCAGTTTATATGGTGAATAGGCGGAGTATCAGCCAAGGCTGTTTTTCAACTCAAACTCTTTCTAGGTTTAACATCAAAATAAAATGTTCCGATAAATATTTTGATTCGCAAAATCACAGCATAATTTGAAATAGAGATAGAAATACACCATCAAAATGAATTTTGTAGGAAATATAACCGAAAAGGGAAAACTTGTTTTCGTGGAAAAAATGGTTCATATAAAAGTTATAGATATTCATATCGCCTACAACTTTCAGTGAAAATCTTGAAAAAATATTGCCCACTATTTTCTTCTTAAAATAACTATTTTATGCTGATATAAATTACATCCTCTTCTTGAGTTATTTGCATTGGCCACAATTTACATAATATTTAGCTATCGTTATATGGCATTCCCAACCGCCTCACCGCAATCAATCGTGAACGTTACTGTTTCATTATCTGAAGAAAGTTTCTTATAAAAGTCGTTAAAAGACGAATTGCATGATGTTCCTTGAAGTTGAAAGCAGATAGCGAACGTTTGAAAAAACAAACCAATCCCGTAATCCAACATGAACTGTGTCAAGTCTATATATAAAGTGCGAAAATTAGTATCGACAAATCATTTCACATTTGAGTTGTAACACACAGTCGTTTCCATACACATTTTCATTCTATACAATCTTTGTGAAGAAGTAAAAAGAAGGGTTAACAAAAAAACTATAGGGCATACTAATGGATACTGAACAAGCCAACAATAGCAATTTGAGGCAAACGAAAGCTTATATTGGAACTAGAAGTGGAACGCAAAATGTTATCAAGAAGAAAGTGAAAAGGGAAATAGCTGGTGCACCGCCAAGAAACAATACTGGTCCAGATGGAAGGAAACAGGACGAATTCTAGTAGACATCTTTGAGGAGTTACATTATCCTGAATAAACTCAGGTGAAGTCTTGAATAAACTTAATTTAGTATATGCAAGATCTTAACTGAACTGAGATGTACATCAATTATCAGTATTATTTTTTGTTATTTGTGATGAATAGGTCTAATATAAAATAATTCATTGCTAATCCGGATATGAATTGATTGAATACTTGAATAAATATATTGATGTTACATTTTTATTCTTCAAATATTTGTATTGAAGTTAGTGCATAAATGGATTTCTATCTCGGATGATCTCAAAATTTCTTTTTGATACATCTACGATCAACTCTCACAGTGGCTATCAATAGAAGTGAACGAATAAATTAGCAAGTGTGAATAAAATTTGCAAGAATATTATTTTTTTGATTGAAATCCAGTATCACAAAACGAAATATCTAACTGAAAGTCAGGATACCTATTTTAAAACATAAACAGCCTCGCTTCATTATAATCCAGCTATAAATTCATGAGTCATACAGAGTTGACGACATTTCATTTAACGCATTCCAACTAGTGTTTATTTTAGAAATATTTTAGAAATAAATGATGATGGTGATGATGATGTTGATGTATAAAAAAGGAATTCATGGTTCAAACTTGATCAAATCTTCAAGAATTGAATATATCGTTGTAATTCATCAAAACAAATTCACTAGAACAAAATCATGAGTAGAAAATATATGATATGTAACAATTTGAGGTCTTGAGTTAGAATTTATGAGAAACGTGTTAAATTTTTCGGAACGAATCGAACTTTATCAACTAATATACTGAATGCATATTACTGGAGTTTTATGCCAACACCAAGCCGTTTTTTAACACCTCGACACTTGTTTCGATCACCAAGTAATCATCTTCAAGATCATCAGTTTAATCTTACTCTTGAAGATGATCACTTGGTGACCGAAACACGTGTCAAGCTGTCAAAAATAACGGTTTGGTGTTGGGATAAAACTCCAGTAATATTCATTACTTCACCAAAGGTTCCAAACAGTGCATCACGAGTAACTAATATACTACATCTATGAAATTCAGCCCACTGGCAAATATTCACAATTTTCTTATGAATGTAGTTTGATTTCGAATATTTATCAAAGTGTATCAATTAATCTGATAGATAACATTAAATTGCAATTTTCCTTCCTCCATTTGTAACAGTTCTGTGAGTTTGTGGAAGTAGTTAGCCAGTTCGCGAAAACTTCACAAAGTATATCGTGTCGTGAAATTTTTTGAAAAATATATTGATACATGCTCTCTAATTTATAAAAAATACTTGTGAAAAAAAGTTTCTCATTGAGTGGTTTCTCTGGTTGAGTGGAAGAGTAGCGTAAGCTAAACTCCGCCAGTATAAATAATGACAATTTTTTATTATTATTATTTGATGTTATCTTTCAATTCAATGTATACAGTTGTAACGTAATATTATAGTATGCAACGATCATGTAATAACCATCACATGAGAATTGCATACGCTATTTTTTATAGAGCCGATTAATAATGGAGAATTATAATTATTATATTTATATTTGTTTTGAACACAATAACAGTAATTACTATCGTTTATTCAAAAAATCTACAAAACTGTAATTATTGGTGTTACTTCGGGTATTACCATAGATATAGAAAAACTATAAACATTCAATTTATATTTATATTGAACATAATAGTTGTATTTAATCCAATTTCTTTGGAGATTTCTTTGAGATTATTTATTGGGCAGTTTGAGAAGTATATTCTGAACCGAATTTTCAAAGTAGCGTTTCGCCACTGAATTGGATTTCCAGCCACCATGACGTTTTAATGAAGTTATGTCACCATCGGCATCAACATATACGATTGCAGATGTCCTTCGAAAACAATGCCCGGTATATAAATTTCGATCAGGCAGATTTGAATATGTTCTATTGGCTTCCCTGAATTACCCGATTTATTAATACCAAAGTTTTGAATTATGCATTTTCCAATAAAATAATTAACGAAAAAAGATGGGGTGTGGCCAAATTTCGGCCGTAGATTCATATATTTTTTACTATGTTCGTACTATTTGCCGGTAACTGTAAACGTTCGTTGACTGTACATCATTTTGGAATTTGTTCGAATGCTATGGTTTCAGGAATGTCCTCATAAGCGAATGATATTTGAAATAAATATCTCCGAGCGATT